GAGACAGGCCGGAAGTTGGACATGACTGAGGGGTCATGGTTAGGTTTTTTCAGGAGGGGCTGGACAGCAGCATGTTTAAAAGTCTTTGGCACCACACCTGAGGATAAAATGCTATTCAGAATAGCGAGAATAAAAGGACCCAGGGTAGGAAAAACTTCCTTTAGTAGTCGAGGGGGGACCACATCAAAGGGGGAACCAGATGGCTTCATGCTGCACATTACCTGCTCCAGAGAGGACAGAGAGATGGGCTCAAAGTGGTCACACACAGCCACACACTGAGATGGGATGGACAGATCATGAGCTGGTGGAGAAATGAGTGCCCAGGTGTTTGCCACTTTTTCTAAAAAGAAATGGAGGAAGTTTTCACACAGCTCAGTTGAGGCTTCCAGAGGTGAAGTCTCACTGAGGTGTAGAACTGAGTTCAGGGTGGAGAAAAGAACTCGGGGGTTGTGGGAGTTGGAGACAATTAAATCAGAGAAGAATTTACATTTGGCAGCTTTAACGGTTTTCTGATAGTGAAGCCAACTCTCCCTTAACATTTGAAAAGAAACCTGCAGCCTGTCCTTCCTCCACCTTCGTTCAGCTCTGCGACACTGCCGCCTAACGGCTCGCGTGACGTCATTCAGCCAAGGCTCTGATTTAAATTTAGTTTTTCTGGTCTTAAGGGGAGCAACACGGTCCAGAACATCTAAACAGGCAGAGTTGAACTGAGAGGTTAGCTCCTCAGTGGTAAGAGACACCGGGAACTGTTCGATCCTCTCAGAGTTAAAACCTTCATTAAAACGAGCAGCAGTGAAATGGTTAATGGAACGCGTACGTGCAGGAATGCACGTCTTAGTAGTATGACAAGGGGGGGTGAGGTCAAACAATACAGGCATGTGATCTGAAAAAACATTGTCACCCATTTTTAAATAAGAAACAGAGACATCGCGTCTTAAAACGAGGTCCAGCGTGCTACCATGTTCTTGGGTGGGACCGTGTACCTGCTGAGCTAAGCCAAAAGAGTCCAATAAATCTAGAAAGTCCTTCACTAAGGGCTTCTCCTGACAACACATTTGCAAATTAAAGTCACCAATAAGCAAAAAGTGAGTGTATCTCTGTGTGATATCAGCCAAAAAGTCAGAGAATTCATTTATGAAGTCCTTAGAACGAGGTGGGCGGTAGACGAGCGCACACAGAACCGTAGGAGAGTGTCCGAGTTCAAAGATGCTCAGCTCAAAGCTGGCGCGGGACACCGGGATGGACAACTGTTTACAGGCCAGGTTTGCTTTAAAAACTGTTAATATCCCTCCCCATCCCCCGCTCCCGCGCCGACCTGATGGCCATGGGGCATTAAAACACAGACAGTCCGGGGGTAGTAGTTCCACCAAGGCGGTGGACTCACCATCAGAAATCCAAGATTCCGTGACGAACAGAAAATCCAACTCTTCATCTTTAAAAAAGTCATTGAGGATAAACGTCTTGTTGGAAACAGAACTTGCGTTGATTAAACACATCCTGATATGGTCCGACACAGGCACAGCCGTGGAGGGAGACGTGCGCGCCAGCGGGCGCAGGTTATGAAGAACGGCACCTCCAGGTCTGCTGGTGCGGAACACAGGTAAACAACTCCAGGTGTTTACATGGACTGAGCACGCGGGCAGCTGGCCAGCAGCCGGGCCCCGGGAGCACCACGGGTCAGAGAGGAGAAGATCAGATCCAGAGCGAGTCCTGATAGAATAATCCACACTTTGCCTCAGATTCACCAAAATCCCTGCACGCTTACCACGACGTCTGCGACGTTTCCTCCATGGAGAAAGGCCAGGGTCACGCAGAAGGAATGCAGGAATCTCAGACAGGACCGGTGGAGGAGAGTGCTGGCCGCGGTTCAAAAACTCCGCGGGAATTTCTGCAAATGTACGGAGCTCCAAAACTGCCCGACGATCATACTGAAAATATGACTCGGCACACTGCACAAACCATTGTAAAAATATCAAAAATAAAATACGAGCAGAGAGCGAGACACGGGCAGCCCTACACACTGGCGCCATCTTGGAATCCATACATATATATACGTATATACATATACATATATACATATATATATATACATATATACATATATATACATTTATACATATATATACATATACATTTATACATATATATACATTTATACATATATATACAATTATACATATATACACATATACATTTATACATATATATACATTTACATATATACATATATATACATATATGCATATATACATACACATATACATATATACATATATATATTCATATATACATACATATATACACATATACACATACACATATATATATATATATATACATA